TTGACAGGTTGATTGACTTGTTGACTGGTTGGTTGGTTGGTTGGTTTGACAGATTGGTTGACTGGTTGGTTGGTTGACAGGTTGGTTGACTGGTTGGTTGTTTGACAGGTTGATTGACTTGTTGACTGGTTGGTTGGTTGGTTGGTTGATTGACTTGTTGATTGATTGACTGGTTGGTTGGTTGGTTGGTTGGTTGGTTGGTTGGTTGGTTGAACTGACTGTTTCTGCATGTTCTCGTAGGGTTCTGGTCACATGGTTCCATCAGATAAACCAGTTGCTGCCTTCGCCATGTTCACCAGGTTCATCAGGAAACAGCCTTACTGACCTGGGCTCAGGCTGGACTGCACTACCTTCTCAGGATTTTACTTTGTTTTCACTGACAGCCAAGCAGAAGAGCCTTTTCTGTTGTAAAGTTAAAAAAACTTCAAATGTTAACATATCACATCTCTCCTTTGAGATTGTTGTGGTTCCCATGCTGACACTTCCTGATGAGTTTCAGTTGAACTGTTGTTTTTAATGGAAAATGTTATAAAGGTGAATTTTATCCAAACAATAGATTTGTCTCTTTTATTTTCTATTCTGGTTCAGTATGGTGGCCCTGAAGGGTCAAACTGAAGAACTTCCTCTGAGCACTTCAGCCTGATCAGGTCCACAAAGACCTGATCAGGTCCAGAAAGGTCTGATCAGGTGTGTAGCTCCTGTTTGCAGAGTGTCAGTGAACAGTTTCAGGCTCTTGTGCTCTGTTGACTGTAAACTTGTTGCTGCAGCCTGTCAGTCAGTGCTCAGGGAGAACAAACACATTTCTCTGCAGAAAGTCACACTTTGCCCTTCAAAGCAGCTGATTTGACAGGTCAGCCCAGTGAGAGGACACACAGCTCAGAGACATACCTGTGCAGGTAAGTGTAAAACCTACAGAAATGATTCTTCAACTCATTCAGTCTCATTTTTCTGCTGCTTTGCTTAGATCCAGACCGTAATGGTTCTGTTCATATGTCCTTCTAAAAAAATTAGCATATTTCATCCAACCAATAAAAGAAAAGTGTTTTTAATACAAAAAAGTCAACCTTCAAATAATTCTGTTCAGTTCTGCACTCAATACTTGGTGGGGAATCCTTTTGCAGAAATAACTGCTTCAATGTGGCGTGGCATGGAGTCAATCAGCCTGTGGCTCTGCTGAGGTGTTATGGAGGTCCAGGATGCTTCGATAGTGGCCTTAAGCTCATCCAGAGTGTTGGTTCTCCTTCAAAAGCCTTGTCTTTTTTAAAAAACTGGTCTCCTTCAAAGGCCTCATCTCCTTCAAAGGCCTCGTCTCCTTCAAAGGCCTCGTCTCCTTCAAAAGCCTTGTCTTTTTTAAAAAACTGGTCTCCTTCAAAGGCCTCGTCTCCTTCAAAGGCCTCGTCTCCTTCAAAAGCCTTGTCTTTTTTAAAAAACTGGTCTCCTTCAAAGGCCTCGTCTCCTTCAAAGGCCTCGTCTCCTTCAAAAGACCTTGTCT